TAGTGCCAGATATGGTATACGCGGGGGCCTCAAATTCATCCTGTGGGGGAAACTCAGAAACCTCTTTGATCGTGAACTGTGCCTTTATGCCTATGAACGAAAGGCGGGAGATAGAAGACCCAGGTGACAGCAAGGAAGCCGTCACAATCTTGACGATACATGGAGCAGGTGTACAGGTGTAGATGAACAAATGGTTGAGGAGTGGCAATACGTGCCTTAAGGAAGTCAGCAACCAACCCCATAACAAGTGATGTGAAAAAGCCTGTACTTTTCAGATGACTCCTTACATGGGAAAAATGTATTCCGTATAGTATAAAATGATTGTAAGGGTGTCTGACCATAGGTCCAGAAGATATCGAGGTTTCCGGTGCACCATTATATTCGCGATCCTCCTGGCTGCCCGATTCACAATTCGCCTGAAAATTGATATGGAATTTCTATTTCACAAAATAAAATACGTAGGACTTGTTTTCTTGGGCAAGTTCGAACTCTATTAGATCGGAGTAAAAACGAAAAATCACAAGAATTATCGAATCTGTCAGGGAAAAAACAACAAGAACACGAAAATACTACAAACAAAGATTTTTTGCTTGCAAAAAGAAGGCTCGTGTGCTGGTGACTGATAAATTCAGTTATCAAAGGTATCTGAAGCTTCACTAGTTCCAAATTAATACATGGAAACATAATAAATGGAGTTTTCACCGGGACGCTCCTTTGCGGGACCTTAGGCCTTGAACTGATATTGGGATAGGGAGAACTCGGACAATTCAATGTCTTTTACTGCGACCTTCCCTCAACTCCTTCAAAAAGAAAAAAAGAATGGTCGAAAGCTCAGTGAAGCCATATGTTCGCCATGAGCTGGGAGGCACTTCCCTTTTTCTGCACCAATTTGAAAGCTTCCAAGCCATTCAACGTGAGAAAGAAGTTAAGTACCTCATCACTGCCGTCACCACAATCGTCAACTCCATCGCATAGCTTGTCATAATGGAAACATCTGGTCTCAGTGAGATAAGGGCATCTGGAAAGATTCATTTTTAGTAGCGATTCATGTGATTGTACAGAGACTTACCGGAATTCCTGGTCTGTACATTCACCATCATCTCCTTCCAGTTCATCCTCATACTCTTCCACGGTAACGTGATCTTGTCGGATTTCCTCTAAAAAATCGACGATGTCACGATGTAAACTAGCAAAGTTGTCAGAATTTTTTTTTTACAAAAATCTAAGTATACTTGGCGTGAGTAT